GAAGTGAGATGATGCTACATGCATTGATATTAACTGCCATTGATACAGGGAAATCAAAGCTGTCAACAAACTGCAAAGACACACAGCTGCCAAGAGTCTCTTTCGAGCGACCTCCATTTTATTTCAATTTAGGGCGTATCTGTCACGTGATACTATACGTTTTCAGTGTTCACACGTGTACAGAAACGATTCTTTTTTAAAACGCTCCATTTCTGAAGGCGTTCTCGTTTTCTCTACCGTTTGCAGCGTTTTCATGTGAACAGAACTGCAAAACGCCTATAAAACGATACGGATTGGGAAAAAAACGTTTTGGTGTGAACAGGGCCTGAGTTTGACACCAGCCGCTTGGAATTTGAAAAATGTAGGATACGTCACTGATGACGTCTTAGGCTGCGTTTACACTACTCCGGTTTCATTGGAAAACAGAGACTTTTAGTCACGGATACGGGTTTCGTTTACACTAAAACACATGAAAACGGATACTTATCCGGAGACATTTGAAAACGAATACCTAAGCGGATACTTCTGTAAAGGAATGATAAGTTCAAATGAAAACGCAGCTGGTGGATTAGTGTAAACACCTAAAACCAGTGATAGCAAAAACTATTCGGATTCAGTGGAGCGGAGTAGTGTAAACGCAGCCTTATAATGATATTCATTAAAGCATGGCCGAGATTTTACAGCTGCGTAGTTGGCCTGTATTGCACTCTTAAAAGGTTTTGTTTGTTCTGATAAGCAGTACAATAGCTGCTGGAGTCAACTAGTCTTTATCAGGCAATCATTATCAAAAGATCTTGCTCTGTTAGCTTTTAAAAAGAAGAATTATCAGACCACATGTTCTTATGTAAACTATGACGTATATAAAACGTCATTTTGGTATGCCATTGAGTTTATAGGGAGAACCCGGTTCTCAGGGTTCCCAAGGGCTGAGAGACCCAAGATCTGAGATCCTGTGATGGCATTGGGTGACTAAGAACCTGTGAAAGTTTCATCCTTATCCCACATTCCTATAAAAAGTTATTCCAGTTTTTCTTGGGTCAAACTCAGTTGGGATATAGTATATATGTGTACACTGTACATGCTAGAAATTTTAGGAATTTATATTGCTAATCATGTGCCATTTGCTGTGCTAATCTATAATAGAAGATAGAGATGGCTTTTATTATTCTTTTTGTAGCATTATTTTCATCGCGACGAATTTATTGGCAGAATAAACGAAATTGTTTATTTCCTTCCTTTCTCACGTAGCGAGTTACAGAAACTCGTTGAGCAAGAACTGATAGTTTGGCAAAAAAGAGTAAGACCCTACCGATATTCAATCCTAATTGAGGGTGTGGTTTTAGGCCATGGAAAGACATCAGATTAAGTTGACATGGGATAGAGAAGTCCTTGATGTCGTTTCTGATGGCTACAATGTTAAGTATGGAGCTAGATCAATTCATCACGAAGTGAGTGTTGATGTACATGTACACTGGTACGTGTAGTTCTATCATATTGCATTGTATTGGCAGCAAATTTGCAGCCACGTGTCATTGAGCAGGTAAAGAATAAAGTAAATTGCGAATTTATTTTTGGCCTTTGATCATTAATCCACCAATCACTAAAATAAAACTCAAACCAATTTTCCTGCTATAAGGTACATCCCTTGATATAGGTTGAGAGAACGGTTGTTAATCAGTTGGCTCTAGCTTATGAGAAGGAATACATCAGCAAAGGAAGTTCAGTTCATTTGATTGTAAAGAAAGAAGGCAATGAAGGAAGAGGACCACTTGTATCTATAAAAGTTTTAAATGATAAAAACTCACTGGGAACTAAACAAACAAAATCTTTAGCTAAGTCAATACTTCCTTTTAGTCAATGACTGTTAGCTTTGAATAATAACAAATCCTTTAATTAAACCAATATAAATCACAGCCATTATTAATCTTATGCTAGAGTAGCAAGAATACCTGCAGAATACTCAATAGTCAACACTGCAATAATTTTGCCTCAGAATTTCCTGTTCCATAATGCAGTGTGCACTATAAAGATGTCACTATTACTATAAAACTAAGTACTTTAATTCCACATTATGGCATTGGTACTATATAACAGAGTTTAATTGGGAGTGAAGTAATGTTTGTTATAGTAGACAACATTGTCAAGAATGTTTTGTCTTCAATTGCATAGGTTTGCTTTCAGTTAAAAAGTATTGTTATTGTTAGTCATACTTTTACTGATATTTGCCTTCATTTTCAAGGCTAATCATATTCACTTCCATTATGTTCTTGTAGTATATACGGATAGATGATCCTTAGCTAGTCTACCGTACACAATTATGTCCTTCTATCTCTTTTTACTATTTCTCTCTCTCTTGATCCAATGTGGTACCAG